AATGGGGCTGGTCCTGGGGTGTGAGTGAGGTTGTGGTCTAGGGGTGTCCCAGAACAGGATCCATCTCTGACATTGCTCCTGCAGAGCCAAAATGGGTCTGATCCTGGGGTGTGAGTGGGACTGGGGGTTCCCAGGGCAGGATCCATCCCTGCTGTCACTCCTGCAGGACTAAAATGGGGCTGGTCTAGGGGTGTCCCAGAACAGGATCCATCTCTGACATTGCTCCTGCAGAGCCAAAATGGGTCTGATCCTGGGGTGTGAGTGGGACTGGGGGTTCCCAGGGCAGGATCCATGCCTGACATCTTTCCAGCAGGGGTAAAATGGGGTTGATCCTTGGGCATGAGTGGGGCTGTGGTCCAGGGGCTTTCAGGTCCTGACATTGCTCCTGCAGAGCCAAAATGGGACTGATCTTGGGGTGTGAGTGGGACTGAGGGTGTCCTGGGGTAGGAGCCCTCCCAACAGGGCTAAAATGGGGCTGAGCCTGGGGTGTGAGTGGGACTGGGGATTCCCAGGGCAGGATCCATCTCTGACAGCTTTCCAGCAGGGGTAAAATGGGGCTGAGGCTGGGGTGTGAGTGGGACTGGGGATTCCCAGGGCAGGATCCATCTCTGACAGCTTTCCAGCAGGGGTAAAATGGGGCTGAGGCTGGGGTGTGAGTGGGACTGGGGATTCCCAGGGCAGGATCCATCTCTGACAGCTTTCCAGCAGGGGTAAAATGGGGCTGAGGCTGGGGTGTGAGTGGGACTGGGGATTCCCAGGGCAGGATCCATCTCTGACAGCTTTCCAGCAGGGGTAAAATGGGGCTGAGGCTGGGGTGTGAGTGGGACTGGGGATTCCCAGGGCAGGATCCATCCCTGAGAGCTTTCCAGCTGGGGTAAAATGGGGCTGAGCCTGGGGTGTGAGTGGGACTGGGGGCCAGAGGCTTCCAGGGCAGGATCAGCCCCTGCCACTGTCCCCACAGAGCCAAAAGGGGACTGACTCTGGTTGGGAGGGGACCTTGGGGTCACACAGGGTGCCCTGTGACCTCCCATCCCTGTCTCCCCCAGGACACAGGCAGTGA